ATTTAAAGATATTTTTGAAAACTATTTTTGCCGTTTGGTGTACTGCTCTATATAGTCTCAGCTACTTAGGAGGCTAAGGCAGGAGGTCCCAAACCTGTCTATTGGAGCATCTGGACAACATAGAGACACCTTTCATTTAAAAAGTGATTTTTGGAATTGGGAAGATGGCTCCAAGAGTTATGTGCTTGCTACGCAGACAGGAGAGCTCAAGTTCGGATCTTTGACACCCATGTAGACAGGTGGGTGTGGTGGCACATGCCTGTTACTCCAGCATGGGTGGGGGCTGAAGACAGGAGGATCTGATAGGTTTATAGCTGGCCAGTTTAGCCAGTTGACTGGCTCCAGATTCAGTGAGTGACCATCCCCCAAATAGGGTGGAGAGTGAGAGAACACCCCACGTTTTTCTCTGGACTCTACCCCCGTGTACAGTTCTACCGCCCACACATACATGCACACACACACGTATACCGCCACAATAATTTTCCAAGTACCTCAGACTGACTTTCACGTCTTGTTTTCACTTGTATTCAGCTAACCACTTTCTCACTTCCCTTGATTTGACCTGTAATTTACTGTTCCCAAATATTTGAAACTTAATCTGTTATTGAATCTTTTAAATTCTACCACACTAGAGGCAGCATACTTTGTAGAATTTGCATTATTTTAAGTTTTGGGGGGAACTGGTTTATGACTTCTACTATGGTTTGTCTGATAACATTCCAATCATGTGTGAGGATTGGATAAGGTGCTATTATGGTTAGAGTGATCTTCATTTAGGTTATGCTGGCTGACAGGGCTGCTCAGGCTTTATATATCGTCACTGAATGACGGCTGGAAACTTTGTCATGACTTCTCCATATTTTTGTCTTCCTCTCATGTTTCATTCCAATTCTCTAGCACTAGTCTTGTTTTTATTTCATGTTAGTAGTTTCACTTGTTCATCTTTACTGATCCTTTATTCTTTAATGTCTCGTGTTAATTCTACCCAGGACAATTTACATCTCCTTGTATTTCTATCATTGAGATGACTTTGTCCCTTTCTTATCTCTCGGCACGCTCACATCTCATCAGTCTTCTTGGATATGAAACATTTACACTCTAATGAGTATATTCATTATACTCTATAATTCTGTCATCTACATCATTTCTGGATTTGTTTCTCTTTGTTATGCCATTTTATTTTCTTGCTTCCTTGTATACCAGACAGTTTTGGTTCTGAGACATTTTGAATTTTAAATTGTTGAGTACTGATTGATATGCATGTATATGTAATATGAACACACAAACATAATATATGCTGCATTATAAGTGTGTAAATGTTTTTGAGCGTTGTACTGGGACACAACCAAGTTATTTGGTGGCACTTTTATCTTTTCAAGGCTTGTTTTTAAATTTAGGCAGGAGCATCTAGGCTTTCAGAGCTGATCTGACCCCATACTAGCCAGCCATATTTCATATTCCATGTTCCATGCAGGTGCTGCAGCTACTATTAGGTTGTTGTGTTCCTGCTGATGAAGATGTGAATGCTCCCCAGCTGAGTCATGTAACTAATTAATTCACTTGCTCCTTTTTAGTTCTCTACTTGGCCCGGGGACTTCTGCAGACATCAGCTGATCACACTGAAGGCGTGCGACCTTCTACCCACCAAAGAGCTTTTTTGCTCTGCAGATTCTTGCTATGGCTTCCTCAAGATCAGTTGTCAACTAAAAGAGACTGTAGAGTTTGGGGGGGGGGTGTCTTTGCCCGTGGAGTGGCCTCTTCAGAGAAGCTCTGACAGCTTTAGGGCTGACATTTATCTATTCTCAGAGAGCTCTATCGTATGTTTCACTCCCAAAGTCTGAACGCTTTTGTTTGTTTTTCGAGACAGGGTTTCTCTGTGTAGTTTTGGTGCCTGTCCTGGATCTCGCACTGTATACCAGGCTGGCCTCGAACTCATAGAGTTCCTCCTGGCTCTGCCTCCCGAGTGCTGGGATTAAAGGCGTGCGCCACCACCGCCTGGCCACTTTTCTTGTTTATATAATCATTTGGCTTTAAAAAAAAAAAAGTATTTTCTCTGCATGTACACACGTGCATACCTAGTGCCCACAGAAATCAGAGGGTGATGGAAGCCTTGGAACGGACTTACAATGATTGTGAGATACCACATGAGTGCTGGCAACTGAACATGGGCCCTCTAAAAAAGCAAACTTAGCCAAAGAACCATTTCTTCTCCAATTCCCCTGGGGTTTTATCTTGTCCAGAAATTAAATGGATTGTTGGATACTTCTGTTCCACCTTGTTTCCGGCCGGCACTCAGAAAGGATGCTGAGGCAAGCCCTTCCCTCTGCCTATTAAGCAATATGTTCTCCCTCCCCGTTGTTAGATGTTAAGGAAGCCAAGTCTTCACATCAAACAGTCACTTTTCACTGGCATAGCACATTTTTCCTCTAACTTACCCAGACAGAAAACCCTACTCCTATGGTTTTTGTCAGGATCCTAATACCTCAAAAGACACAGCAGTACCTTTAAAGCTAAATCAGTCACTGAAGATATAATGCTTGAGGCACAAATACTTGCAAAACTGAAGAAAACCCAAGACACCCATAGCAGATTGGAAATCAATGGTCAGGAGCTAAAAATTCTGCCTGTTTCCAAGGGAGACTGTTTTAGCTCTCCCTGGCATCTCATGAGAACAGAGGATTTCCCCCAAAGCAACCCAGTTTGACCTACTTACCTTATGATGCCTGTTTGCTGGCTGCTGACCTGCTTCCTGAGCAGAGAATGGGCAGAGCTAGCTAAGGTAAATGAGGAACATCTGGATTATGTCCTCCCTCCTCCTGGTCCCTTTGTTAGAAAGTAGGTTGCTTTGCTCCTGGAATAAGCCCCTCCCTGAGGTCTTTGAGGGCACTGCTGTTCAGGTGCATATCTTTCTCCAGTGAGAACAAGAGGGGAGGGCACCCAACAAAAACAATGGTAGCTTCAGGACTGGCTGTGGCCTGGGCTTCATTTTACTAAGGAGCTCCACCTTACTATGAGATATTCCAGAACCAGGGAGATGGAGAAAATACTCATCTAATTTGAATCCTTCAGTGGCTGCAGATGAGTTTAACATCTTAGGGGACAATGAAGGAAAATCAGGTCTAAATGGTTTCATATTTTCAGAATTACTTATGCATAATTTGGATCATTGTGTGTGCATATGAAAATCGCGATATAAAAATCAGTGCCTTGAAGCCAGTAAAGAATATGCCAGAAGCGCCAGTATGACTGAGGACAGACTTCCATTTAAATAAAGATTAAAGCACATGAAAGAAAGCAAGAAATCATTAACATTAATCTGATTTGCTCTCATGAGAAAAGGCACTTTATTAATGTCAAGCTTTGGTTATGCTGCTGAATGAAGTCTTGTGCTGACCTAGCTGTGTCTGATGAAGACTTCAGATCTTATTAGTCATGTGACATGTATGTGGCCTGGCTCTGCTCCCAAGAACTTTCTCAAGCTCTTTACCTGTCTACTAGAATTTTTGCAACTGTGAATGGTGGCTGGTACTACTCAACCCTTGGTACTGTTTACACAGTGGCAGTTATTTGCATACTGCAATCTTCTGCACAGTGCTCTGCTTCAGAAGAATCTTCCTTTAGATTAAACTACATTAAATACCAGGGTTGAGTTTTCATACTTCCATTGCAGATTAAGAAATGGGGACATTATAGAGTTAACAAAGGTGAAATGACTTGGCCAGTGTCCAAATGCAAAGCCCTAGTCAAAACCAAAAGGCTGGTCATCCAAATGTAGTGTTGCTTACTAGAATGCACAGTGGGCTTCCATAAAGCATTGGTGGAGACACTGGAGTCTGAAGGCCATTTTAAGGGTCCTGTTTTTTAATTTTGCTTCACTCAGCACTTTTGAACATAGCTAATTGTTAACTTTTTCCAAGAGGCAGCAAGGTCCAGGGCACATTGACTGACCAGTCTGGCATCTGGAGGTGATGGGAGTGATGATGTGGTCTTCTCACAGCTCATCTATTACTATCTGATGATGTGGTTTTCTCACAGCTCATCTATTACTGTCTGATGTTAAATTTCCCCAAAAAGCAGCAGAAATCCACTGCCAATAAGAGGACACAAAGTACCTATGGAGAAGTTCCTGGGGCTTGGCTCTCAACCCATCAGCCCCCAGAGGGCCTGAATTTAGTGTCATATTGCCAGGACCAAAGGTTCAGGCTTCAGACTTCTAAAACAGTCACATGTGGAGTTGGCTTTGGAATGCATTGGGATGTATTTCAGCAGGTTAAACAGTGACAGTTCTGTGATATAAACAAATCACTGGAGGGAGCTCATTCTTCTTTGTCTTTGCAGTGCTGAAGGTTGAACTCGGGGCCTCAACACATGCAAGGCCAGTGCTCTACCACTAAGCGATAGCCTTTGTATTTTAAACACTCAAGACAAAAACCAAATTTATCAAATGACTTAATATTGCCTGCACTGATTTCTAAGTTCCCTTCCTTCATGCTTAAAGAGTGAAATTAATGATTATAAATTAGGTAATATTTATTTTTCATATGGTCATAGTATCTCTACTACAATCTTCTCAATGTCAAGTCATTTGGAACAATGCTGACCTTGATGATAAAGCACACATTAATGATGCCAAAAGCAGTCAGGAAGGCTAGGTTAGCACTCCAATACCACAAGGACAGTTAAGGCATCCCGTCTGACACTCCTCAGCTGCGATAATGCAGAGCATCAAATGTGGTGCTGTGGTGACATCTCTGAGCTAGTAGCTTTTAAAACTCACCTTCTATTATCAACAGACTTGACTTCATATTGTGTTAGATATCCTCAGAGAGTACAAAATCACAGTGACTAATTTTTCTTTGAGACGGTATGCAGGCAATGCTCCTAATCATGTTTGAACGCCAAAATCTAACCACATAGTAGTTATTTGTACTTTATGATGTGGCCACAATTACAAAGGGAAAAAGTACACCAATAATTATTTTTCTTTATTTCATACAAAGGCTTTGCTGTGAGTCTGCAAGTCATCTTGTCCAATCCTAAAGCTGTATTTAAGCGCCGTGGATCCCAGCCAGGAATGCAAGAATCTGACTTTCTAAAGCAGATAACAACAGTTGAAGAACTGGAACCAAAAGCTAGTAACTGCACCAAGGTATTTATTCATCTCCCTCACGCTGCTGGACCTTGAGTGTTGATAGTGCGGCTGCTTAAACTATCGCCCTCCTCCATAGGTTCTCGTGTGGCACACTCGGACAGAGAAGGTCAATCTAGCCAATGAGCCCAAGTCCCACCTGGACACAGTGAACATTGAGGTGTAGCTGCCAAGACCAGCAGGTGTAGAAGGGCAAGTCTGGAGTTTAGGCTGCAGTTCATTCAGGTATTGTTCCTTTTTCTTCAGTCTTTCCTGGCAGCCGATGGACATCTGGTTAAACAGCTAACTGGATGCTACAAAATGTGTTGTCTTCATTTGTTCTGCATGTGTTCTCAAAAACGTAACTGGGAAGATTTTTGTACAATGAACTACATGACACTGAAAAAAAACACTGAGTATCTCATGTATTGCTGCTCCCTCCCTCCAGCCATCTCATAAATGATGGAATAGGCTTTAGAACCTGATGATGAGCATTTTGTCAACTAAACAGTCCCGGTTCTTCGCTCCACAACATGAAATATTTGGAAAGGTGGTGGCAGTGTACACTGTAGAAAATAAAACCCACAAATAAAAAAGGTGTGTGGATTCATCTGTTTAATATAGGGAAATAACATTTTGTCAATACTAGGCACCATAAAATGTAAACACAATTACTGTCATAAACCTGGACATACCTTCAAGGATTAAAAGTGGCTTTGTTTTAGTTACCCTGTGTGCATATAGTGCAGAAAAAAAGGTCTTCGTAATAGCACTATGTACATGAGAAGAGGTCCAAATTACAAGAGGCAGCAAAAATTTGAATTCTTGAAACATTCATTAAGTTTGACAGTAACATCCAGGTTTATCTTCCTTTCACTAACCACATTCCCTGTTAAGCACATCATAACAACAGCACAGTGAAGTGAGTGATGAAGAAAAGAATTTGATACACTAGAAAACAGTGCTCAGTGATACATTTACATTCTATTATATGATTAAACATTGGATCATACAGTACCTTCCTACAGGATTACTGGCTAATTTGGGGTTGGGGTTTATACTGTTAGAAGTATTACTAACATGATAACTACTTCCCTTATATGCAAACATTAGAGCTATAATTTTGAGAATAAAACCGATTATGCAAGTTAACTGAGCAGCTTCTCAATGTGGCTTATGACATCATGGGAAATATGAGCAAAGCTGCCCTCCACAGAAGATGGTTTCTCAACCTGCTTTCACATCTAATTTAATCAGCACAGACCAACACGGTCAATCAGGTAATTCTTAATGTGAACAAATGGGGGAAAAGAAAATACATATGTACATGAATAAACGGGAACTAGATGCCTTTGTAGTGAGGAATGTCGGGTGTTGGTTTTGGATGGAACTCTGTTGCAGCTTTTCACTTCCACAGTTGTGTGCTCAGAGTCTGCCCAGATGAGCTTCCAGACCACCCTGCTGTTGTGCTGGGGGGCTGGCCAAAACCTGTGGTAGGGTTTGCACTACTGAGACTCATGCCAGCCATTTGCTGATTCATCTGTGAAACACATAAAAGGCTTAGTTTACGAGGATTGTTCACTTTTCATTCTGGATTCTTAGCTACAGACAGACATTTCATCATTAATATGAAAAGGAGTCAGAGCAGCAATGGAAGTAGACCACGCCTAAGTACCTCTATTGAATCAAATCGCTTTGTTCCTTGTTTTTCCCTGTGTTTAGCACTACTTAGGAAGTAACCCATACTTAATTCACTTTCTATACTCAAATTTTTATCCCAAAGATTAACCACAATTGAAAAAAATACCACAGTAATCTTTGAATTTGTATGTGAGCAGATGAGCCCATCACTCTTTCAACTACATGAGGGTATTTCTTAGACTGAGAAATTTTAAAAATTTAAAACATCCTAAAATTACCCTAACATTTTACAAAATACCTGTAATTCTCTACTAACATCCTAAATGGCTGTAGTATACTTTTACAACATTAAAAAGGTCATATAGCATATGTTTTAACAGCTAAAATTAAATTTCATTATACGCTATAAAATAAAAGACTACATGTATTTTTCTTTCAGGCTACAGTCCAGTATATTTATCAGCCTCTTAGCTAACCCAGTGGTTCTCTTACTACCAAGGTTGACGATGGAACAGGAAAGGCAGGATTTACCATAATATAGTTCCAAGCCTACTATCAGTGGTAAGGGTGTTCTTTTTGCAGGGTTTTTGTACGACACAATAACCATGTCAGCACTCCAATGTGTCTAAAGGCAGGCAGATCACATCTTCCCTTTTGCTCACAGATACTCTCATGGCCTTGCTGACAGCACTGTGGTTCTTCACTGGCTCATCTGTAATTTAACCTGAGCTGAGTGAACCTCAGCATCTTTGCCACAGAAAAGCTGTTACTAACATCTGGCTCTTATAATTTCTGAGGTTTCCAGTACATACACACGTGGTTCATGTATTCCAATAAACCACATTGTAAGATATTTGGTGATTTTGCTAATGTTTGTTAGAAATCAATGCTCTGAAGGTAAAACTACTGGTCTTACAGAAACCAAGACCATTATGATGTAGGAAAGGGAATGCTAACACGAACATTAATTCAAAAGCCTTTGTCTGTAGAGCTACAGAAGTCAGAACAGCACTTAATACGGAAATGTTACTCACGGCTTAAAACTAACCCAGATAGACATGGAATTTATCAGTGACTACCTGAGGTAAGCAGTCCCTATGATAACATAGGGACTCTTGAGCTAATGGATGCTCCTCATAAAATCACAGGCAGTAACCATATGACAGAGACAGCCTTGATCCCTCATTAAACTGTGCTTTGAGAATATGAAGCTGGCTTTCTCATTGGTAAGAGTTAAGCAAAAAGGATCCAAGCTTACTATTGGAGACAGACTGGTCTAAGTGGACTTCTAAAAGACCCCACCCAGGAGCAGAAGAGGATGTGGTGTCTCTCATAAGCTGTGAAAGATAACTTCTAGCTAGTACAGGTAGATTAGGCATGTACACCATTACAACATTATTACAGGCTGAAATGGGAAAAGGAAAATCCTAACATTTATTTACAGAATACTCTTAAAATAAGGACAGTAACAAGTCATTTATCTAGCTGATAAAACCTCATGACATCTATAAACACTTGGATCTGATCAAACTTATCTCTATTCAATTCTTTTGCTACATCATTAGATTTCAAAACAAACTACTCATAATATACACATAGTTTCTTGGATTTTGAGATGAAAGACAGTTCATGAGCCCTACCTGTGAGAGGTTCCACTGAGGCTGCTGAGCTTGTGGAAGGCCAAACTTGCTCTGTGGTGCACCCATTTGTCCCACCATTCCTCCTTGAGGGCCAACAACGTTCTGAGGAAGTGGCATCACTCCAGTCTGTGCATTTCCCATAAACCCATTGGGCATGGGCATGCCCACCATCATGCTTGTATTCTGTCCCATCATATTTCCTATAAGACCAGGAGCCGCAGGCACTGGTACGCCCATGGAAGGAAAACCTTGAAATGCAGTTGCTGCTTGTGAGGTAAATGGCATATTTGTGGGTCCCATAAACACACCTGTATTGTAAGAACCATGAATTAAAACAAACCAACAAACCAAAAAACAAAACAAAACAGATCAAGAAGAGGCTCTTGTATATGGCTGCACTCATCTCCAGATACAGAAAAGGGGTCATAAAATAACCCACACCTCAACCTTCAGAGCCTGTTAGTTCCATAATGCAGACAGATGTACGTCTATTGTGAAAGCCAAATGCACAGCCTGAGACTGCATGCTGCTCCTGCTGACTCGCACCACTGCTTTCTCACAAACCAACCAGTCAGGAAGAGAGGTGGTTATTTGCTTTTATGAGGAAGTAGGTAAGTGGCCACACAGTTTCAGTCTATATATGAGATGAGCTTATTTTGGAGAAAAGGGTCTGATGGATTAAAACTGAATGAATAGTATGCTTATATTTCACTATAATGATAAGGCATTTCCAAGTTTTGCATAATTATATATATGTGTGTGTGTGTGTGTATATATATATAATACCTCTTTCCTAGCCATATTTAGCAGCTGGAGCAAAGCAGGTTTTGCTCATCACATCTTGAACACAATGGGTCTGACAATATGCAGGTACAGTCTGAAGACTGCCACTACTTCTCTCAAGAACTAGTGTCACTTGTAATAAAGGATGTTATAACTTGCAGAAGCAAAAGGTTCTATAATGGTAGATTAAATGCTTTTAACTTTTCAAATGTATACACACACACACACACACACACACACACACACACACACACATACATATGTGTGTGTGTATATAATTCTGACTGCTTTTGTTTTATTTGTTTGCCTGAAGAGGAAATAGAGTGTACACAACAAGTCAAACTTCATGTAAATCAAATTCCAATAATTCTTCAAAGATAATTCATGTCCTATAAACTTGTAGAACAATATTAAGTGATTTGTGAACAACCTGTCAAGTCTCAAATGAATAAAGTTTTGTGAATCCTACACTGTTTAATTCTAATGCTTCATTCATTTCTGTTATATAGACTACAGAGAAGTATCCACTACTACCATAGGAAAATGCAACTGATATTACAGTTTCAAAGGATGTACTCTATAATACCACAGTCTTCACTGGAAGCAGAGTTAACATTAATTACCAGGAGTGCTTTGCTGTGTTCCGGTACCATATAGAGATAAGATGGAGTCTTTGGAGAGTTGTTTCTTTGCTACTTCTTCTGACTTTATAGTTTGCTCAGTGAACAGATCCAGATCCCCAGATGTTACGGTAGACAGGCTAGCAGCTGCTGGTACAGAGGCTGTCCCCTAGGTAAAACGTCAAAATAAACTGTTAATTTCTACATAGCACAGCTTATTTATTACTTAAAATTCATATAAAATTGGGCCGGGCGGTGGTGGCGCACGCCTTTAATCCCAGCACTCGGGAGGCAGAGGCAGGCGGATCTTTGTGAGTTCGAGGCCAGCCTGGTCTACAGAGCGAGATCCAGGAAAGGCGCAAAGCTACACAGAGAAACCCTGTCTCAAAAAACCAAAAAAAAAAAAAAAAAAACCAAAAAAAAAAAAAAAATTGGGAGTAAATTATAAGAGGTAAAATAGTAACATCTATAAAGATCATTTTTGAGCCCATCTAAGAGCATCTAGAATGAAAGTACAATGTTTCACAATGTGACCTGTTAGCATAAACCAAGGAGACTGAATTTAGCAGCTGAAGCAAAGCAGGTTTTGCTCATCACATCTTGAACACAATGGGTCTGACAATATGCAGGTACAGTCTGAAGACTGCCACTACTTAAGAACTAGTGTCACTTGTAATAAAGGATGTTATAACTTGCAGAAGCAAAAGGTTCTATAATGGTAGATTAAATGCTTTTAACTTTTCAAATGCTACACCATAAAACATTTATGCACCTATTCTAGGTCACTTTAACAATACTAAA